AGTAGAGTTTTGGATGACTTTAAGTTTACAATGGTTAGAATGAGGGAAGTTGGCCTGGTGCATTATGCAATCATCATTTTGGAAGGTACAGAGATAAAAATATGTGAAGTGGGTAAACAGAAGATGAGCAGAGGAAGGGTGGGAAGACGGGTGATATTAGAGAGGCAGAAACAGGTTGGCAGATATGTGGTCAGAAGCTAATCTGAGGGTGATATAGGACACTTTGAAAATATTGCTTTCTACAACAATGGACTTTTATGGATCTCAAATTGTCTTTGTATTTTGTACTAAGTAAGATCTCTGACTGAAATTATCTAGTCATCTATCACAAAAACCAGAATTAAAGAGACCTTCACAGCTCAAGCCTTTGCTGTAAAAAGCTACAAAAAAGTTAGTGATTATTTTTCTCCATTACTTTTATTAAATAGATGAATTCTGAATTAAACTCTAGAAAATGTTCATTTTTTTTCCCTTTTGTGTACTTCCTCAGAGATTGCTTTTCAGAACAAAGAATTACTGCTATGGCATTTTAGCCCTCAGTTGCACCCTCTTTTATGGCACCGAGCTGATTTCATCGGAATTCCTCGCTTGTGTCTCTAGCTGCAGGTCTCACCAAGAAAATCACCTTGTTGAGTAGGTCACACAAATCTTCATGAACAACATTTAGGGCCCATTCTTTCATGGTCATTTGTGATGTTGCAGTGCAAAAAAATGTGTGCAAATACTGGAAATGATTTTTCTCAGGATTTCACTATATGTTCATAATAGAATCTAGTAATAGAGTTAAAATAGATCTTACCAACCTATTTGTTTAGCGAGAGCTACTTCTGATTAATGAGAATTATCACAAGCCACTAAATCTCCAAAGTAACACTCAGCCATCAGAATCAGTGCACCCTGTCTGTAAATATTGCTGTGTTCTTGTTCAAATCATGAGAAACTTTGAATGATGCCTCTGTTGGCTCATTAGATCTCTTGGATCATTTGTTTAAAAGAAGTTGCTGTCACTGCAATTCAATTTTTAGGGATTTTTGTGACCAAAGACTACTTCCTGTAGGAAAACGCTCTTAAAATGCTTCTGCATTGTTGCAAAGTGCCTTATGATATTGCTCTTTTTTGCTGACTGACTCACACACCGCAGATTGAACAGACACACTTGTCTTTCAAACTTGTAAACAAAAACATTGTTCTTCCACTCTTCATGGAAGTAGTATATCTTTCACCTTTTTGTGGGTGGAACTGCCTCTGTATTCATGATGTGAACAAGAATAGATTATTTTACCCACAGCAATGTAGCTATCTACAAGGCAGGTTTACATTATTACCATAGCAAAATAATTGAAGGGACAGCGTTACCAAACCAGTCAACTAGCTTGAGTCAGGAAATTAATTGGCTTGAATTCCATAATCCTATTGGTTACTTTTTCAAATCTTAATGTGAGCTATTCATTGGTGAGCTACCAGTCACTCACAATCATCATGTTGGCAACCCCTGACTTAAAGATGAGGTGATTTAACAAATAGTTTTCCTTAGAGCAGAGAAGATTGAGGGGGCCCTAAGTAAGATGTAAAGTTATGAGGTGTATATATAAGGTACATGGCAAGAAACTTGTTTCCTTTTTAGAAGAATCAATTACCAGGTACACAGGAACAGAAGAGGTAGAAGGGATTTCAGGAATTATTTTCAGCCAGAAAGGGTGGTAGTAGTGGCAGGAACCATCACAGTTGAGAACCACTTGGATGAACATTTAAAACACCACAGCATACAAGGCTGGGAATTGGGATTTATACAGACGAATGGTTGATGACTGATATGGATATGAGGGACCAAAGGTTCTTTCTCCATGCTGTAAAAACTTTATGACTTAATTTGAAGCTTGGAGCCAACATGTCTCCTATTGCTTCGGCTAAGTGACTTAAAGAGCCGAATAAAAACGGAAAGAACTGCGGATGCTGTAAGTCAGGAACAAAAACAAAAGTTGCTGGAAAAGCTCAGCAGGTCTGGCAGCATCTGTGAAGGAAAAAAATAGAGTTAGAGTTAACGTTTCGGGTCTGGTGACCCTTTCTCAGAACTGATAGTGGCTGGGAAAACGTCAGGTTATATGCAGAAAATAGGAAGGTGGGTGGGGTAGGGAGTAAATGATAGGATAGAGCTCAAAGAGGGAGAAAGACAGTTGGACAGACAAAGGAGTTGCTAACAATCAGGCTGGGAAGGTGAATAGTTGTTAATGGGGACTGTTAGTGACTAACAACAGCGGGTATGTAATGCTAGGCTATGTGGTAACAAGGCCTGGTGTGTGGGGTAGGGGAATTACCCCTGTATCCGGTGAAGGTGCAACACCTGCCCATTTACCTCCTCCCTCCCCAGTATCCAAAGACCCAAAAATACCTTCCAGGTGAAGCAACACTTCACCTGCACTTCCCAGAATCTAGTCTACTGCATTCACTGCTCACAATGTGGTCTCCTCTACATTGGGGAAACAAAGCATAGACTTGGTGACCGCTTCACAGAACATCTACGTTCTGCTCGCAAAAAAGACCCTGAGCTACCTGTTGCCTGCCACTTTAATGCACCACCCTGCTCTCTAGCCAGCATCTCTGTCTCTGGCTTGCTGCAGTGTTCCAGCCAAGCCCAACGCAAGCTGGAGGAACAACACCTCATTTTCCGCTTGGGGACCCTACAGCCCTCCAGACTCAATATTGAGTTCAATAATTTTAGGGCCTAAACTCTCCCATGTCCCAGCCCCCTACCCCACACACCAGGCCTTGTTACCACATAGCCTGCCATTACACACTACCTATTGTTAGGCACCAACAGTCCCCATTAACAACTATTCACCCTCCCAGCCTGATCGTTAGCAACTCCTTTGTCTGTCCAACTGTCTTTCTCTCTCTTTGGGCTCTATCCTATCATTTACTCCCTACCCCACTCACGTACCTATTTTCTGAATATAAACTGACGTTTTCCCAGCCACCATCAGTTCTGAGGAAGGGTCACGGACCTGATACGTTAACTCTGTTTTTTTCTTCACAGATGCTACCAGACCTGCTGAGCTTTTCCAGCAATTTTGTTTTTGTTGTTAAAGGGCTGAATGTTTGAAGAACAGGACCCAGGTATTCACACGTTGAGGTCCTAGCCCCCCCAACTCATTGGGGCTCTTGAGGCCCAATGCAATTTTTGACAAACAGGCCAATTAATGTCCAAGGTTATTGTATGAGGGAAATGACCTAATTACCTCCAATTCTGTGTCTTTGACTGTTTATGGATTTGATTCATGTGACATCTGTTCACAGCATCTTATGGTTATGTATTAGGAATGTCACTGGACTGGTAATTCAGAGACCCAGGCTAACTCTGGGGACATGGGATAATTTTCTATTGAGGCATCTGGTGAAGTTTAAATTCAATAATAAACCTGGAATTGAAAGCTGGTCGAAGGATTCTTATGGAATGGTGGAGCATTCTCCCCTGTGAACCAGGAGACACAGAGTTGAGTTCCACCTGTTCCAGAAGCATCTCTGAACAGCTTGAGTAGAAAGTGACTGAAAGCTGGTCTCAGTAATGGCGGTCATGAAACTATCATCAATTGTAGTTTAAAAAAAAACCTGTCTGAATCATTGTGCTTTATGGAAGGGAATCTGTCATCGTCGCCTCGCCTAGCCTATATATTGTTCCAGACAGACAACAATGTGGTTGACTCATAACTGACCACTGAAATAGTTTTTAGCAAACCATTCAATGTAAGGGAAGTTAGGGTCTTGATAGGGAAGCTCACATTCCATGAGACAGAGTCAGAAAGTTGTGGGTTTAAATCTTAGTCATACAGCAAGGAAATAGACCCTTCAGTCCAACCAGTCTATGCTGACTAAACTAATCCCACCTGCCTGTGCTTGAACGTATCCCTCCATGTCTTTTAAACATTGTAACTGTACCCACATCTGCACACGTCTTATGTACTTATCCAAATGTCTTTTAAACATTGTAACTGTACCTGCATCCACTATTTCATCGAAGTTCATTCCACACACAGAGTCATAGTCATATAACACAGAAACAGACCCTTTAGTCCAGCCAATCCATGCTGAACATCATCCAAACTAAACTACTCCTACCTGCTCCTAGTCCATATCCCTCCAAATCTTTCCTATTCATGCACTTATCTAATTTTTTTAAATGTTGTAACTGTGCGCACATCCACCACTTCAAGAAATTCATGTCACACATGAAAAACCCTCTATTTAAAAAAAAAAGTCCCTCACGTCTTTTTCAAATTTTTCTCCTTTCACCTTAAAATATGCTCCCAGTCTTGAAATGCACTACCCATGGGGAAAAAGACAACAGCCATTCACCTTATAGATAACCCTCAGGCTTTTATAAACCTCTATAAGGTCACATCTCAACAGTCTACCCTCCAGTGATAAAGAGTCCCAGCCTGTGCAACCTCTCCTAAACACTATAATTCTGAGAGATAGTAGGAACTGCCGATGCTGGAGTCTGAGATAACAAGGTGTACAGCTGGATGATCACAGCAGGCCAGGCAGCATCAGAGGGCTGACGAAAGCTTTCCCACTCCTCCGATGCTGCCTGGCCTGCTGTGTTCAACTAGCTCTACACTATAACTCTGAGGTTGCTCAGATGAGGTGTTGGCTTTCCTCCCAGGTGGGTGTAAAGTATAATATTTTGAAGAAGTGGAGGGAAGCTCTCCCTATTAACCTCAACATCACTAAAATAGATTATCTCCCTGTTAATTGTTATACCTTCGCCTGTGCAAACTTATAGCTAAAATTTCTACTTTATAACAGTCAAAAAGTATTTAATAGGCTGTAAGGTACTTCGGGATGTTGGATGCTCCATAGAGTCATTAGCTGCGGTATGAACAAAAGTCTTCATAGTTCTTGACCTGGGTGAGCCACCGTTGGAATGATTTGTAAAATTCTGAATTCCCAATAAAAGCCATTAGGGGTCCCGAAACATTAACTCTGTTTCTCTCACTCCACAGATGCTGCCTGACCCGCCGAGTTTCTGTTTTTGTGTCACGTTTCCGACAAGCACTTAAAACTTTTACTGAAAATGTTGGTGTTGGGAGGAAGTTAAACACAAATCACAACAGCTCTGCAAAATTCCGGCGTGACATCCCTGAAACACTCATCAAGTTATACCAAGGATGACTCACGGTTCACGCATCCAATCTCTTTGTCGGCGAAACTGGACAAATAGAATCGCGGGGTAAAAAACCAGTATACGAACACACAGGCTCATGTGATCCGCTGAGTCACTGTACACACCTGATATTGAACCGAAACTGACGAGGATCGACACTGGGGGGGGGAAAAAACTCGCTGGAGGAGGGAGTTAATTATTACTAACCAGCGTATGCTATAGTCTCCGAAGTAAGTTTGTCTTGTTTTGGGGGGTTTTTTTTCGTGCTGCTGTCGCAACATTTGTACATACTTTTCGTTCTTTTCCTGATGTCTGGACCTTGCTCCCTTATTTCGTTCAGAATTTAGGGTCTCGTTGCGTGTGTCTAGTCGAAGGGAGTTCAAATATGCTGCACTGTTCACCCCTCATCCTTCCTCGCTTTAAATCCTATGCTAACTGATAGGTGTTTATGAAGTTTACACTTAATCGCTAATAATTTTATTCGATAATTGATGGGAGTGTTTTTTTTCGGAAAGAATTAGCGCCTTGGGGTTTCGGAAATGTACCCTTGTGTTTTCCTTCACAAAATCAACAAAGTATTTTTTTTAACTTGAACAAAATCTGTTCAACTGTAAGGGAGCCGCTCCGTGGGTGCGAATGTAAAAGCATGTGGGAGTATTTGGTCTGTAATAACAGTTTAATTTTCAAAATCAGTCAAATATGCACAAAATAACGCCCAAATCCAGGGAGTGGGGGTATTTTCAGGTAATTGTAGTTTAGTTGAACTCTTCAAATATTTTCGGGAGGTTGTTTTCTGGTTTTCTTACAAGCCGCCGAGTTTTCAGTGGTTGTTTATGTCTGACTGCAGAGTTAATCGGTGTATATATTTTTTGTTTGGCTGGGTCACAGTGAGGTGCTGGAACCTGCCTTTCCAGGGCGCGGTGAAAGCGTCTGACGTCGATTCGACAACAGAAACTTTCAGAGGAAGTTAGTGGCGTGGGGAGGGGAAGATTGGTTAAAATCGAGACCAGTTTTGGCAGACTGACTGATTGCTTTGATTTGATCGAATGAAGAAACGATAGGCTGATACTCACTAAGACCTAATTCAGTGCTTGGCTCCATTATTGCAGGGGACCTTTCTCTGTAAAGGAGAACATTTCCGGGATCACCAAGCTGGATATCGACGAGAAGGTAAATAAGGTTGGGGAGAGGGATGCGAACCCCTGACCTCGGTTTGTTTTAACTTCATTAAGTATTACCTTTCCCTGCACCTCAGAATGAGAGTACAATCTCTGATTGTGGCCATGGACTCGGGGGAAAGGTTCCCAGTCTGGGTTCGTGTCTCCTGGGTCTTGGGTTATTTCCGCCTCATGCATCGAGGAAGCAATTTCCTCGACATATGACACTTTAATCTTTTTATTTCTCCCCCGCCCAAAAAATTCTGTATAGATTAATTGTGCTTCTAGAGTTTATGGAGAACTGTTTTGCTATTTCACCGTGGTAGCACCTCGAATTGGCGTTAACCTTGGTGTGGATCTGGAGTCGAGGCCTCATCTGCAGGGAAGGTGTGAGACCCTTCTAACTTTTTTCTACATTTTATGTGGAATATAAATTAAGGTGATGGCAATCCAAATTTCTGAATGTTCATTGAATCCCTGGTTTAAAAGAAACTGATAAATGTTCTCCCCTTTTAAAAAATTTCCATATTTAACTATCGCGGTGGTTATGAGACGTGACTATTATTGTTCCAGCATAGAATTAGACAGCAAGAAGTCAGTAGCTGTCCCACGGAACGTATTACAGCTAATATGATTGGGATGTGTTATTAAACCTCCTGGTATGCAACCTCTAGTCACATTTTACATTGAAAGCTTTACTTTGATGCGAATTCGTTTGGGGCAGCCTGACTGTCACCTTCTTTCACGTGGTGTGAATGTGTATTGCAAGACCTGGACCTGATTGTTGAATGGAGGAAAACAAGTCTCCTACATTTAGGAAGATTTACTCCTGTGTTTGGCTGGGCCTGACTCTGCGTTTAAGTGCATTTACACAAGTTAATTATGAATCTCCTAGAATATGCTGCTCAAAAACAGGCCATTCACACCCCCCGCCCCCAAACCCCTCCATCTAGTCACTGCTGTTGTTAATAATCCACACGGAACTTATCCCCTGCCTCTGCCTCATCTCACTCAGAGATAGTAAGAACTGCCGATGCTGGAGTCTGAGATAACGCAGTGTGGAGCTGGAGCAACACAGCGGGCCAGGCAGCATCAGAGGAATGGGAAAGCTGACATTCCTTCAGAAGGGTCCCGACCTGAAATGTCAGCTTAAGGTGTAGAGCTGGATGAACACAGCAGGCCAAGCAGCATCAGGGGAGCAGAAAAGCTGACGTTTTGGGCCTAGACCCTTCCTCCTGCTCCTCTGATGCTGCTTGGCCTGCTGTGTTCATCCAGCTCTACACCTTGTTATCTCAGATTTTCCAGCATCTGCAGTTCCTACTATCTCTGAAACGTCAGCCTTCCTGCTCCTCTGATGCTGCCTGGCCTGTTGTGTTCCTCCAGCTCCACACTGTGTTATCTCTGCCTCATCTCAGTATTTTCTGTTGCTGCTTCTTGCATACACTTAACTGCTTTTCTTCTTTTGAGATCTGATCCAATTGCCTCTGCCATTTCTTCTGTTTATCATATTTTAATGACTGTCAAGTAATTGTTTCTCCTTAATTGCTGACTGTATTTATTAGTAACTGACTTGTCTATGTGGCCCTAGTTTTAGATTCTTCTAAGTGGAAACGACATTTCCACTTTTTTGAAAATACTTCTCCTATGTCCACATTTTTCTCTGGTCAGCCCATTCTGAATTTTAAAACCCTTTCTCTCCTTTAAGACTTCCCATTGGCCTAAACAGCGTAAACATACCATTAGAACACTAATTCCTAGCTTAATTATCTTGATGCACAATAACCTTATTTTTGACAATAACCTGACCTATGCAGCAGATACAATAACATGCAATATATATTCAATCAAATGTATGTGAATTACATTGAGAGAGTTATGTTTCACGTGTTCAATGTTCTGTGATTTCTTCCAATTCCAAATTGATTATTTTAGAACAAGTAGCAAAAAGACGCTTTTGAAGGATAACAAGTTGTAAAACCAAAACGTTTTATAATTTAAAAACTTATTTTGGGGTCTTGTTGCTCGGTTGTAGCATGCCTACCTTTGGGCTAGAAAGTCCGGGTTTAAGTTCCACCCGTCCTGAAGGTGTTTCACAAAGGGTCCCTACTTTTCACTTCTCTGATTAACCCACTGAAGTTCATCAGCACTGGACTGGATGGAAGCTGCTGGAAAGCTAAGTGTCAATCAAGTGTTATCACGTCCCTTGAGGTTAAAGCAGGTCTCTGATTTGAAATCAGAGTTGTTGAAATCACCCTGTAGATCCTCGTTTCATAAAGGGGCCATTTTACATCCTGAGTAATAGAAATTTTGTTTCAGAGCATGGCAATACATCCACGCAGGGTGCGATTGAAACCATGGTTGGTGGCCCAAGTGGACAGTGGTCTTTTCCCAGGTCTCGTTTGGCTCCACCGGGAAAATAAACGTTTTCAAATTCCTTGGAAACATGCAACTCGTCACAGTCCACCTCAAGAGGAAGAAAACACTATTTTTAAGGTGAATCCAAGGTTACAGTTCTTTTTTGTTTTACTGGCTTTATGACTTGGCACTGTGGAAGCAATGTGTGAAAATCTTCTAAACAGGTTCACCATAATAACCATAGCTGAGTAACCTCAAATGGGACTGCCTGATTCACTTCCTCCTATTTTATGCTGCACCAGATTTTGAATTCCAAATGGAATATTCCAGAGCTAATTTTCTCTCGTTAAAGTTTAAACTAAGTTGGGTGCTAATCAAATAGAAAATTGAAGAGAATTATTAAACAGAGACTAATTCTAGACTCATTGTCTATGGGAAGTCTCATCTAGTTAATCACAACATGGATTGTGTCTGAGATAGTAGGAACTGCAGATGCTGGAGAATCCGAGACGACAAGGTGCAGGGCTGGATGAACACAGCAGGCCAAGCAGCATCTCTGCTCCTATGATGGATTGTGTCTGGTTTAGTGAGTACTGGCCAGCAATGGGATCATTCCTTTTTAACTTTGCTGAAGTCATTGGTTTCCTAACGACCTTGTTGCCAGCCCCATACATTCTGATTCATGCCAATGCTGTACCCATTTCTAATTTTGTAGCGATGTACCACTGGACTCGCAAAGTGCTTCCTAGTTTTGGATAATGGATTCCTTTTCAGAACTATAAACGTAGAACCCTGATTGGCATTTTAGAGTGGGAGGGGTTGGACTGTGTCTTTGTGGAGTCTGGAGTAGGAGATGTGGAAGGAGCAAGGACTGATTCGGTTTTAAACTACAAGATTTGATCACTTTTTTAAAGTATTAATTCCAGTGTGTTTCATCTACAGGCATGGGCAGTAGAAACTGGAAAGTATCAAGAAGGGATTGATGAACCAGATCCAGCCAAGTGGAAAGCGCAGCTTCGTTGTGCACTTAACAAAAGTCGGGAATTTAACCTAATTTATGATGGAACCAAGGAGGTTCCAATGAATCCTCTTAAAATATACGAAGTGTGTGATATCCCGCAGAGCAGTGGTACCCACAGCAATCCAGGTAAACTTTTTTTTTGACTGTATTAGCAAACTACCAACTGTTTTAGCAGATGAAAATGAAACAGTGCAGTTTCATTTTCACCGGCTAAAACAGTTGTCAGTTTGCAAAGTAGTTTTTGTTAGCCATCTCTTAATGTTGTGGCAGACTGGCAGCAGGTAAAAGAAATGCAGGAAGTTTAATATTAAGATGTGTAACAAGTAGTTAATTGTACCACCGAGGTTTCAAGGGGGACAAATTACAATATAATGCAATAGTGCGATGAAGCAGTTGTCGTAGACGCAGACTAAATGATCAACAGACTCATCATCTTATATTTATAGAGTGCCTTATTAAATGTCCCAAGGTTTCTCGAGCATTATCAGATAAAAATTGACACTGAGCCACATGTAGATTTAAAGCTTAATCCAAGACGTTGAAAAGAACAACTTCTATAGGAGAGGGGAGAGACAGCAAGATTCGGGGATGGAATTCCAGAGCTTTGAGCTGATTCAGTTGAAAGCATACCCACTAATGATGGAGTGTACTCAGTTTCTATATGACTGCAATTTATGGAGACTGAGCAGTATGATATTGGACTGACATGACCAGGCTATTCAGCCTGTTAATCCTGTTCTGCCATTCAAACTGATCATGGCTGATTGTCTACCTTGAATGTCATATAGTCAAACATTGAATAAACAAAGGCATGGATGAATGATTCAGCTGCAATTATTTTAAGGCAGGTGGCGCAAAATGAGCAGTATTACAGAGGTAAATGTAGGTGGATCTTGCGAAGGAAAGGATCAGAGGTCAGAAGTTCACCTTAGACCAGTAGATAGTCAAGGCTTCAAACAGTGTTGTTTAGCCACAGCTCGTGGCCAGGAAGGGGTGTTGAGTCCATGGCTAGGGAATAGTCTGTGGTAGGACCAAAGGCTAGATGTTGGACAACCATCATTTGGAACCGGATGGCCCAAATATAATGAGAGGAAGTTGAGTGTGCTTATGAAAAGTAACTAAAGAACCAAAATAAGCTTGGGGCTAAATCAAACGCACAAATTATTTTTGTCTTTTTTATTAGCTTCAAATGAAATCTAACAATCGAGTACTACTTATCCATGCATGAGATTGTTGCCAGAACTGAAACTGCTTTCACTTCAGTCAGTGTCAGAAAGAGGTGATTTCATATTTTTGATCTCTCAAGAACGCTGACTTGTAATTAAGTTTGAAACACCCAAGGTGTCAGATTTCCAATATAATTAGTGAGTGTTTCACAGGATCGGTACCATGGGAAGAAAGTCTAGATTTGGAAGATGAAGATGATGAGTTGAGCTCTTCTCAGCCTCAAGTTAAAGTAAGTGGAAAAACTTTGAAACAGAAATTTTAAACAGGTTATGAATACTATAGAAAATTTTAGACTACAAGTCTTGACACCCGGATGATTTTGTGGATGAGGTCACCAGCATGTAGAACTAAGTCATACAATAAGTGTCCAGCTCAATTCTTAATACATACCAAGTTAATTAGCCTCAGTCAGTGCAGTTTTAAGGGCATTACAATTGATATTAGTGGTTGTAGGCTGTAGAGTGTTGGACAGTGGGGGTGGGGGTGCTACTCGTGGGGAGTCTGTTTCCAATTATTGTGTAAGAAACCCATCAAAAAGTATATGTGAAAGAAAACTGGCTCTGTACAATTTGGGGCTTGACAATAGTGTTCTAGTAACCTTTTATTATCAAGTATCTTGTCCTCTGTGAAAATGATCATTGTTTACAAAGGACAGATGGATGTGTTTAAATCCTCAAGCCAGAGGATGATAAATAATGAATACAGGACAAAAGTTTCAGATGACAACATCTGAACTGGAAATTGTAGTCTTCAAATAGGTATTGTACATCTTGCTACTTTCTGTTGCTGTGCTAGTTGTGCTGAATGCTAGCAGATGCTTACTTGTGTGAATAAAATATATGATAGTAGTTAACTGCAGTTTTAATCTGTGATGATCGGCCAATCTGGGCATATTACCAAATAATGAATGTAGTCAGCTGCATTCAAATTATAGAATGACTGTGAGCAGAAGACCATTCAGCCTATGTTTCTATTAGTTTGGTAGAAATATTGCATTAATTTTACAGTTTTCGAAGACTAGTAGCTTGGGTTGTGGATGAGGTTGTAGACACGCTCGCCGAGCCGGTGTGTTTGGTTGCAAACATTTCGTCGCCCTGCTAGGGAACATCACCAGTGTGCCTCTGGTGAAGCGTTGGTGTTTTGTCCTGCTTGTTATTTTTTTATACCTCAGTTTTCTGGAATGGTTGGCATTACTTCTGGTTTTGTTTCTCAGTGGTTTATTACTGCTTCTGCAATCAGCCCTGATATTGGGGCTCCCATTGGTGTTCTGTTGATTTTTGTTTGTGTATGTTGTCGTTGAAGGTTGTGTGGGTTGTGAGGCACAAATGAGGACGCGATGATGATATCCTTCGGTGTAACAGCACTATTTACATCTATAAACATCAACCTAGCCAGAGAAACAATTGCCACACTGCTAGACGAATCAAGTAAGCAGACAACCCAGGACACCAACAACATCAATAAGGACACCACCATGAAACTACTAGATTTGTGCCTCACCAACCCACTTCACCTTCAATGACACCATAAGCAAACAAATCAATGGGATCCCCAATATTGGGACAGATTGCAGAAGCAGTAATGCAAAGGTAAGAACGGACAACGCTCCTCATTGTACAGCCCAAACTTTGGGTCTGATTATGTACATGACACTTTTTGTGATTATTAACCCCTGCATAAAACTGGAAGAAACCCACCAACACATAAACAACATTCTCACCAGGATAAAATTCACGAAAGAAGAGAATAACAACCAATTACCCTTCCTGGACATAATGGTAGAACGCAAAAACAACAGGGAACTCCAGACTAGCGTATATAGAAAGACCACGCATACCAAATAAATACTCGATTACACTAGCAACCACCCCAATGCCAACAAACGGAGCTGCATCAGGACACTATTTAAACGAGCCACAACACATTGCAGCAAGCCGGAACTATGCAGAACAGATACAGTGTCTTCAAAAGGAATGACACCCGAAAAGCGCAATGCACCGTCACCTCAGACAGACCACAACAGGAAGACACAACACAACCAGAATCACTTATCACCCTACAGTACATCAAGGACATTTCAGAGATGACCACAAGGCTACTCAGACCCCTAGGTATCAGGGTAGCCAACAAGCCAACTACGACAGCTACTGACGAATGTAAAGGATCCCATGCCCAGAACCAGCAAAACCGGGGTAATATACAAACTACCAAGCAAGGAAGAAAACTGACTATATGGATACATGAACACCAACTAGCCACCAAGAGACATGACCAATTCTCACTTGTCTCACTACACGCTGACAACGAGGGACACTAATTCGACTGGGACAACATAGGTAATTGCACAAGCCAAGCAGAGACGTGACAGGGAATTCCTGGAGGCCTGGTATTCCAACTGGAACTCCATCAACAAACACATTGAATTAGACCCTGAGTACACACCACTGAGAAACAAAATCTGAAATAATGCCAATCACCCCAGCAAACTGAGGCATATAAATAACAGGTGACACAGAACACCGAGGCACACTGGCGGTGTTACCGAGCAGAGTGACAAAACATTTGCAACCAAACCCACAGGCTCAGCATGTCTACAACCTCCTATAGCATTATCCCAATCCCCATCCCCCTTCACATGGATCTAGCCTCTTTCAAAAAGGCTTTCACTGCCTTTTCAACCAGTGCACTTCATTTTGAATGAGTAAAGTCAGTGTCAATTCTAAATTTTCTGTTATAGATTGCTCCCTATTTTAGGAAAATATTGATCCTTTGGTCACTCATTGCATATTAAATGAAAAACGACCGATTCATTTCATTTTCTTTTTATATACAGATGCAAGAAAGCTTTCCATTTCCCAATTTGAATGGTAAGTGAGCATGATGATGGTCAGTGTGAATTTTAATCTGTAATCAAAGTTGTTTTTTTTTTTTTAAAAAACAGTTTTAGGATTAGCGAAAATAGTTAAATCTTTGGAACCTGGGTAAATATCTTTCAATAATAACAAGATTCCTGGAAATGGGAGGCTTACGCTTGTTCAAAAGATTCTCCTTTGGAAGTAGGAACACATTACTGCTTATACTGGAATCTGGGGAAAACCCCAAATGCTGGAGATCTCGGCAGGTCAGACAGCATCCGTGGGGAGAGGAAGCTAATGTTTCAAGTCTAGATAACTCTTCATCAGAGCTGAAGTGAAGAGGACAGTATTTATGTTGGGGGTTGGGGGGGTGGAGTGGGTGCAGGGTGCTGATGGAGAAAACTGATAATTGTAGATTAAGTTTTTCTTTATTTTTGACATTTTTGTCATTTTAATCATAACAGAAATAATCTTATTTCTACCAAGTTGTTTTCCTCTCTTTTCTCTAACCACCCATCATTATTTACACTTCTGTACCATCTAATGCTTTTGAGAAATAATTGTTTTATACAGTGCTTTTCATAATCTCACTAAGTCTTGCAGTACCATTCTGAGAAGTTAATGGTAAAACTGTAACCTGCTGCTGGGAAACTGGACTCTTGCCTCCTGCCCAAATTAGCACCACTGTCCATCCTTCTAAAGCTTTGGGTAATACCAGAACATTTCACATACTTGAAGAGATCACATTGAAACAGTTTTTTAAATAAAAAATTAGGAGTAGGTACAGGCCATTCAGTCCTTCAAGCCTGTTCTGCTGTTCATAGTCCATGGTTGATCACCCAACTCAACAGCCTGTTCCTGCTTCCGCACCCCCCATATCCTTTGATCCCATTAGCCCCAAGTGCTATATCCAATTCATTCTTGACATCAGACAATGTATTGGCCTTTGACAGTTTTCTGTGGAAACAAATTCCACAGGCTCACCACTCTTTCTAAGTAAAGATATTTTTCCTCCACTCAGTCCTAACAGGTTTACCCCATATCCTTGGACTGTTAACACCTGGTTCTGGATTCTCCTACCGTCAGAAACATCTTTTCCTGCATTTGCCTTGACTAATTCTGTTGGAAACTTGTGTTTCCATGTGATCCCCCTTCATTTTTTTGAGCTGCAGTGAATATAACCCTAACTAATGCAACCTTTCCTCATGTGTCTGTCCCTCCATCCCAGGAATAATTCCCAGGAAGTCATGCACTTCATCAGATAAGGAGATCAAAACTGCATACGAACATTCGAGATATGGTCTCACCAAGGCCCTGTATAATTATAGAGAGACATCCGTGATCTCATTCTTGAATCCTAGTGCCATGAAGGCTGATGTACCATTTGCCTTCATTGCTGCCTACAGCACATGCATGCTTGCCTTCAGTGACTGGTAATGAGGACTCCCAGCTCTCATTGCGTATTCCCCTCTCTCGATTTCAGAAAATTTGCATTCTTGCTTTTGCTCCCAAAATGGATAACCTCCTATTTATCAGCATTACACTGCATCTGCCATGCATTTACCCATTCGCTAAGCCTGTCCAAATCACGCTGAAGCATCTCTGCATCCTCCTCACAGCTCAAATTCCTACCAATTTTTGCGTCCTCTACAAATTTGAAAATATTAATTTTAGTTCCCTTATCTTAACTCAATTAATATATATTATGCATACCTAGGGTCCTAGCACTGATCCCCGCAGTACCCAACAAGTCATGTTCTGTCATTTGGGGTATTTATTTTCACGCTTTGTTTCTTGTCTGCCAACCAGTTTTCTGTCCATCTCAATACACTACCCCAGTCCCATGAGCTTTAATTTTGCGTGCTAATTTCTTTCGTGTGATATTGTCAAAAGCTTTCTGAATCTTGTAAAAACAGAGTGGTGGCTTTTTCCTCGCTTCACAGATCCAGCTGAAACGGGGGATTTAAGCTGATTGTCTAATTAAGAATCCAATACTCTGTACTGTGATTATTACCCTAACTTAACTTTTAAGAAATAATTGCTTTTGATGTAAAGTATACTCTAGTGAACTTGACAATTTTAATCCAACTTTACTTGCTGAGTTAATATGACAATGGTATAATTAGGATACAGATATAATTGCATTATAATCAGAACCCCAATCTTGATTCCCTGTGGGCTGGCAAGCCAAGCAGATGGGATGTAGATGTTGAAGACAGCTACCTGTGCCTCCCCAGGGTAAATAGGGTGGGCAAAACCCCTTTCAGAGATCATCATCATTTTGGGGGGTGGGGGAGAAAATTAAACAATTGTGTAATCTAAATTGCACAATTAAAGTAAATTTGTGGGTGTTCTAATAAATCAGGACAAATCATTTCATGATTTAAAGTTGATTATTTTATGTCAATTGTGATGATGACTCTCAGTTGTGTAACTTGAACCTTGCAGCCTCTCCAATAGCCGCAGCAAATGTGACTAGCTGCTCTCCAAATGAGTGGATAAAGACTGAGCCAGAACAGGTTGATCCGCATTTACCAGCTGAGATATTCAGCACTCCAGAAACCTGGATCAGCTCCCTGCCCAGTAAGCAAAAACATCTTTTGCACTCCAAAGCCAAATCTAGGTTTGCCTTGTTGCTCTTTAGAAACATTTTTCTCTTTTCCTCTGCCTTCCACCAATGTATAATACTGACCTTCCTTGCAGTTGAAATTTGTTTTTGGTCGTATTGCTTAAAAATATAATTAGCTGTTAAATATTAACACTATTTATGCTTGTTATATACACTTGCTAGGGAAACTTGCATTATACATTGCACCTAATGACATCTCGGATGTCTGAATTAACTGGCTGTGCAATTAATAACTTAAAAATAAAATGGCAATATTGAATTAAGTAGCACTTTTTTGTGGCCTATGAATTTCCAGTCAGCAATGTGACAGAGCCTATTAACTTGGTTAAGTAGATTATTACAGTTGAATGAATGTTATCCTGGATATTAAGGTAGCAAAGTCCTTGGGTCTTGATGGCATCTATCCCAGAGTATTGGGGGAGGCAAGAAAATAAATTGCTGGAGCATTGACAGGCATCTTTGTATCCTGTTTGGCTACAAGTGAGGTCCCATTGTTAAAGAAGAATAGCAGGGATAATCCAGGAAATTACAGGCCCTTGAGCCTGTCGTCAGTACTGGGAAATTATTGGAAAAGATTCTCGAGGGCAAGATCTATATGCATTTAGAAGCAAATGGACTTATTAGCAGTAGACAGCATGGTTTTGTGTGGGATGATCATGCTCACTAACTTGATCAAGTTTGTTGAGGTGACAAAGATGATTGAGGGGAAAAGCTGTTGATGTTGTCTACATGGACTTCAGTAAAGCCTTTGACAAGGTCCTTCATGGCAGTATGGCCACATGGTATCAGGGGTAAGCTGGCAAGATGAATACAGAACTGGCTTAGTCATAGGAGACAGAGGGTGGTGGTGGAAGGATGCTTTTTGGAATGGAGGGTTGTGATTAGTGGTGTCCCACAGGGTCAGTGTGTGGTCTACATAAATAATTTGGAGGAAAATGTGGCTGGTCTAATTAGTAAGTTTGTAGACAATACAAAGATTGGTGGAGTTGCACATAGTGAGGAGGATTGTCCAAGGGTAAAGCAGGATATAGATCAGTTGGAGGCATGGGCAGAAAAATGGCGATTACAGTTTAATCTGGACAAATGAGGTGATGTGTTTTGGAAGGTCAGGTACAGGTGGAAATTATACAATGAATGGCAGAACCCTTAAGAGTATTGATATGCAGAGGAATCTCAGTTTGCAGGTTCACAGATCACTGAAGGCAGCAGTGCAGATAGATAAGGTAGTAAAAATAAAAGGCCTATGGTATGCTTGCCTTCATTAGAAGGGGCATTGAGTATAAGGACAGTCAAGTTATGCTGCAGCTTTAGAGAACTTCAGTTAGGCAACACTTGGAACGTTGCATACAGTTCTAGTCACCACACTGCCAGAAGGATATGGATGCTTTGGAGAGAGTACAGAAACGGTTTACTAAGATGTTGCTTGGTGTGGGGGTTATAGCTATGAAGAACGGTTGAATAGACTGGGCTTGTTTTTACTGGACTGCAGGAGGTTGAGGGGTGACTTGATAGAAGTTTATAAGATTGTGAATGGCATGGATAGTGGAAAAAGCCTCAAACTTTCTACCAGGGTGAGGGGTCAGTTACTAGGGGACACAGGTTAAAGGTGCAGGGTAGGGTGGGCCGTAAGTATAAAAGAGATGTGTGCGAGGTATGTTTTTCACACAAAACATGGTGAGTGCCTTGAATGCGCTGCCGGAAGTGGTAGTGAAAGCAGACACAATAGCAGTATTGACGAAGTAGCTGGTGAATACATGAATAGGGAGAGAATAGAAGGATATGGATCCTGTAAGTGAAGACCGTTTTTTGTAAGAGGGGCAAAATGTGTTGGCGCAGGCTTGGAGGGATGAAGTGCCTGTTCTAGTGCTGTATTGTTCTTTGTTCTATCAGAGCATGCTCTGCTCTCTTGTATTTTGCTTTGAGATAGTTAAAGTATTTAACTTCCATGTTTAATTATGTTAAGTAAAATATTTATCTATAACTTAATTGTGGATGGGAATATGAGAATCATCCTTCAACTTAGTTATATTGTGAAAGAGTTATCTTATGAACTTTTAATGATTGATTCCTCTTCTCCTTCCTGCACCAATACTGCACCCTGCTTCCTCCATTCTGTATAGTGACAGACTTGGAGATCCAGTTCCAATACAGAGGCAAAGAATTGGGACCTGTCTTAAACGTCAGCAATCCACAAGGGTGCCGTCTCTTTTATGGTGATCTGGGTCCAATGCCAAACCAAGAGGAGTTATTTGGTCCAGTTTCCCTTGAACAAGTGAAATTTCCTGGAACAGACCATATTTCAAATGAAAAGCAACGTCTCTTCACAAACCGCCTATTAGATGTGATGGACCGAGGACTAATCCTGGAAGTGAGTGGTCATGCCATCTATGCCATCAGGCTGTGCCAGTGTAAGGTGTATTGGTCAGGACCCTGTGCAAGTGGAAATAATACGCCACATGTCATAGAACGGCAGAAGAAAGTCAAGCTGTTTTGTTTAGAAACGTTCTTAAGTGGTGAGTCCTCTAGACTTTTTTTCATTTATATAAACTAAATGAATTGATATGAACAAAGTTGCTTTCCTTTCTGGAATTCCTTTGATGCAACATTGTTTTTTCCTTTATTTCCGCACCCGTCTCAAAGTTGGTCATCTTCAGTTTTTCTTCAATGTGAAATAGTTCAAAGTATAGTTGTTCTGTTTCTAGATGAAAATGTTCTTGGCTTCTCAGCAGCCAAAAGATCCTGTATAGGAGGAGATTGGGAAATGTTGGTATCCAAAAGGATCTGGGTATCCTTGTTCATGAGTCACTGCAAGCTAATATGTAGGTGGAGCAAACAATTAGGCAAATGGTATGTTGGTCTTAATTGCTAGAAGATTTGGAGTACAGGAATAAAAATGTCTTGCTGCGATTGTATGGAGCCTTGGTTCCACACCTGGTGTATTATCCCTAAGAATATTGTGTATTAATTGGACTGTGAGGAAAGATTGTGTGTACAGTTGTGATCTCCTTGCCCAAACAAGGATGTTCTTCTCTCGGCGTGAGTGCAACAAAGATTCACCTCGACTGATTCCTGGGATGGAGATATCACAAGACTATAAGACATAGCAGAAGGTCATTTGGCCCATTGACTCTAATTTTGCATTCAGTGAAATGATGTTTGATCTGATAATCCTCAACTTCACTTTCCTACCTTATCCCCATAACTTTACTGATTTTAAAAATCAATCTCTGCCTTGAATATACTTAATGGCAGCCCTCTGTGGTAAAGAATTCCACCGACTTCAATACCCCCAAAAGAAGAAGTTTCTCCATATTTCTGTCTTGAAAGAGCAACTTCTTAATCTGAAATCAAGGGAAAACAATCTCTTTGCATCTACTCTGTCAGGCTCTTGAAGAATCTTGTGTACTAATTGATGATGAGGAAAGATTATGTACAGTTTTGGTTTCCTTATCTAAACAATGATGTACTTCTCATAACAGGGTGTATATATTGTACTTGGTACTTCCCATAGACTGCACACATTTTCTTGAGTTTAGATGATTTGAGAAATGATCATGTTGAAATGAACAAAGGCTCAACAAGGCAGGAAAGAGTTCCCCTGGCTGAGATGGGGGGTGCTGTCTACAAACAGGGGGCATAGATTCACATTAAGGGGGTGACCATTTAGAACCTCAAAGAGAAGGAATTCATCATTCTGAAGGTGTGAATCCGCTGAATACTCTGTCCCAAAGGACTACGAAACTTCAGCCATTGAGAAGGTTCAAGAGAGAGATTTAGATGCATGATGTCTTCAGTATGTTTAGATAATACAGGAAAATGGTGTTGAGGTAGAAGATCAGCCATGATCCAGTTGAATGGGAGAGTAGGTTTGAGGGTCTGAATGGCCTACTCCTGCTCCTGTATTCTTTGTGCCTTTTATGGCAGAAAATGGAGATCGGAGTGTGGATGAAATGTTGAAGCCAATATTGAACTTGTCTCTCTCTGATTTGTAATATCATTATTAACCACTAATTAAAATTATGGATTGTATCTTTTTAAACTGAAACATTGTGTTTATACACAATTTGCTCATCATTTTTAATTTTGAATTGCAGATCTGATTGACCTTCAAAAAGGGCAAAGTAATAAAGTACCGCCTTTTGAGATTTACCTGTGCTTTGGGGAAGAGTGGCCAGATGGCAAGCCTAAGGAAAGGAAACTAATCATGGTGCAGGTAACAACTTTTTATTGGTTTTGCATCTATATAAACTATTATTCATGTTAGTAAATTACTGTATTAACCTGTTGGACTTCAACCTGGTGTCACGTGATTTCTGACTTTGTCCCCCCCAATCCAATACTGGCACCTCCACATAATACTCTATTTGCAGCATCGAATTTTGCAACGAGTGTTTGTGTATTAAACCGTTCTGGTTACAAAACTTCGTTAATCCCCTGCCCAGATGTATAAGGTGCCATTGAGCATGTAGCCAAATTCTACCTAGATATGACAATGAACATTTTATTAATAATCTTAGTCATCTATTATTAAATCCAAATTTGTGAACTAAATAACATCTTGCATCTTTACAGTCCAAAATTCACAATTCTTCAAAATTCATATAGAAGTTTATAACATCATGAGGGGTATAGGTAGGGTTAATGGCAGGTGGCCTACCGTGGGAAGGGGGAATTTCAAGACTAGGGAGCACATTTTTAAGGCGAGAGGAGAGAGATTTTTAAAAAAGCACAGGCAAATATTTTTCACACAGAAGATGGTTCATGTGTGGAATAAACTGAGGAAGTGGTGGATGTGGGTACAACTACAATCTTTAAAAGCCATCTGGATAAGTACACGAATGGGAAAGGTTTGGAGGGATATGGGCCAGGAGCAGGCAAGTGGGATTATGTTTGGCATGGACTGGTTGGACCAAAGGATCTGTTTCCATTCTGTATGACTCTATGAACTTAGTAATTATCTTCCTATTTGTCTATTGCATTAGAATATTTTAAATATTAAATTGTGACTTTAGGATTGACATTTAAAGTCATAACTAATAGGTTCAAGTTCAAGAGGTTTCATTGTACTTTAAAATTGACAAGAATAAGAATATTAGTAGAAGCCCATGAGCTCTAAAATGATCCTTTTGACCTGAGGATATTTGTTTCCTTAAAGTATTTTTTAAAAGAAAACACTGCTAGCAGCATGATTGTACCATAATCTAACACTAGATATTGCACAAGATATTGTTGACTTGGGGAAATGCCTCATTTGCCCACAATTCATTCTATCTATTCTGTTACCACTAAAATTTCCAAAACCAACCTGATATTACTAGGGGACCAATAGCTTAGTCAGTTGACAGCAATTGTTTATTTTTGTATTTCTTTGAGAATATGGACAACACCGATAAGATCACATTGATTGCCTATTCCTAGTTATCTTGACGTTGTGTTGGGACTTCTTGAAGTGTAGCAATCCTGGATAATGTTAATCAGTAGTGTTCTGGGATATTGACCCAGGAACACACGCATGCCACGTTTGGCTAATGGGTGACATTATTTCCACAACACTGCTCCTCTTAGTTACAGGAGTTGGAAGAATTCCCAGCTCGGTCCACCCATCTTGAGAGAGGTCCAGGCAAGATGGGAATAGGTTGTCTGATGTGGGCTGCAGTTGGACTAGGGAGAAAGTTTGGAGGCAATCATGGGCTGCTGGTTGCTGAGGTGGGCTATTTGAAAAGGCCCTCCTTTAGTGCTGTTGTGCTTCATCCAAATTACCTATTTTTGAAAAGATTAAGTCTTTAGCCTTTGTCGCTTGCAACTATTCATCACCATCCCCTCTCCATGCTACCTTTTTGTCCCTCCACCTACCACCCATGTTCACATGCCAAGCTGGAATTTCCAAATCTATCCACCCACTATCCAATGTATAGAACCAATCAACCCTATATTGACAACAGTGTGTTTCTTTTCAAAATAAAGTAATTCATTGCAAACTTTCTACTTGCTTACCAAAAAAAAAATGCTTTTGCTATGGACCAAAAAAGACCTGATCATCCTGACTCTGACAGAGTCAATAAAAAGTATCAACTACAAGCACAAGAAACCTCTGTCTTGTGTAATTAAATGAATGTGCACTTGGTAGTAGAGATCAGAATTAGAATGTGAATTAAACATTATTTCACTGGGCCTAGTGGTTTCAATGGTCCATTAGATGTCAGGGCTTGCATTTATGTCCCATCGTGTGTTCATGCCTCTTTGAAAAGCTGGATGGATTCCATGAAAATTGTGGAAGACTACAACATGTTTATTCCCACTATAGAGTTAGCAAAGGTCAGAAAAGCATGATGCAGGCTTGCAAACTGAACCAGTCCACACCCGTAAACTAAACCAATGGAAATCCGTAACCCTAGATATAAGATCTGAAAGTGCGTCCTGGCTACAACTTTCATACCACCTTGAAGTTCCCTGACTCCATGAATATTTGGGGTAACCTCTTCAGTGGTAACAGTTGTAGGGAGAGAAGTATGGACTTGTCTTTATAATAGTAAACCGAGGAAACGCACAGGAATTTTTAATACTTGATACGGCTATAGTTATCTTTAACAAGCAGTAAATGATGTTTTCTATAAATCCCATCTAATTATGATTTTTGTCTTGATATTTTCAGGTTGTGCCAGTTGTTGCACGGATGATTTATGAGATGTTCAATGGTGAATTCACACGTTCTTTTGATAGTGGCAGCATCAGGCTGCAGATCTCGACCCCAGACATTAAAGATAATATTGTGACTCACCTGAAGCAACTGTACCATCTCTTGCAAACAAACCAAGGACATGAGCCATGGCAAATTCAACCTCCAAACCTGCACGTGGCACAACCTCTGCCAACCCAGTAACACACACTTTCATCTTCACTAGCAGAATTGTTTAATTCAGATGAAAATGCCACAGAATGTAAAATATTAATTACATTTTAATATATAATATATATACATATGTCTGATAAGCCTGCCATTTTTACTGCTGGTATAACTCAAAAGGAAATGTGATTGTACCTGATTAAATTGTTTATTTTTAAAGAAATTGATCTCCATAAATTCTCTGCCTTCTGGTTATATTACCCATTTGCCTAGTCTTAGCCTAGAGTTGCCAAAAGGAAGAAGCTGAATTTGTTAAGCTCTGAGATGTTTGTAGAAATTTAAACACCAATGCTTGCAGTGAGATCAGTTTCTTTTTTTTTTATCAGTAGGGACTTACTGCAACCTCCACTCCTCTCCTTCGCTTTTTTACATTTTATATTGT